TTACATGGGGTCGCATGCATGTGTTTGTACGCGTGTGCACTTGTGTGCACCCACAGGCATGTGTGGCAGGCCTTGCCCACCATTACGCTTTCATCCCAGGCTCGGAAGGGGAGAGGCACTGGGTAGTGGGCCTGGATAAAACGTAGATGTGTTTGTAGGAAAAACCAAAGGGTTCATTTGAACTCCTCTTTTATATGTGTTCATGTATTACAAAAGCAACCAGAGCTCATTACTGAAAATTCGTCAAAAAGAAAGTGTGGAAGGAAGACTGTGATGACCGCCAGCGCACTTGAACCATGTACTTAGCCTCTGCTTGTCTCTTAGACAAGGAACCGTCTAGGGCTGAAACCAGACTCATGCGTTAATTGGCGTTGAGTGCTTTTCCTTGAGTTCCACCTTTCTCTTTGAAAATCCTCAGGGACCAACGTTTTGCTTATAATGTAAGGCTAGTTCACTTCGGTGGTCTGAAGATTTAGGAGGAAATCGATTTTGGGTGGAAGAACTTTCGAGCAAGGCAGATCCCGGGAGACACACCTACTCCCCTCAGTCCCTCACCCGCCAACTCTGAAATGTTCCGCTCCCTTCCACAGGAGACCCACCTGCCTTCAGGACTATAGCCTCGACCAGTGATCCCAATGGTCCCTTTGTAGAGATTAACTAGAAACTTGTAATTGGTTTCGGTAATTACCAACTTCAGAAAAAAAGCTCTTCATAAATGTTCTCAGCTCCCCAGCTGGCACTGTCACTGCGTGGAAAGGTGACATGATAATTGTTCCTCTGAGGGGAGGGAGGTCGCAATCCCTGCTCCATATCCCAGGGTCCTGTGGCTGCCCCTGCTGCTGCCCCTCGGAAGAATTTGTTACTTAAACTGTAACCCCTGGAGGATTTTACTAGTTGCCAAGCACATTTAGATATGGCCTTAAGAAAAACATATACTGGCAACAGGTCTCTGGGGAGAAGGACGATACACGACCGTGAAGCTGGGCAGCTGGGGATGCCCAGTCAGCTCAGGGTAGAACGAAAACTGCCTGTTTCCCTTCTCCGTGATCGCTCCTTTCTCTTCCCAGAAGCGCCCGTTGTTAGCTAGATGAGTCCTTTGAATGTGCTTGGTTAACACTAAACTTTGTCCTCCTCGTGGCCTGTCCGCAAGATGTGACTAACGTTTGACCTTCATCGGTCCTTCTGTTGGCTATTGTTTCTATCTAATAAAAGTGAGGCTGTGGAGTTGCTGGTGGCAGCAGTCCTTTTCGACTGTTGTCCCCTGCTCCCAATCTCTTGCAGCTGCCTTGTTTGTGCCTAATTCTTCTCCCGTCGCCGGCTGGAAGCGGCATGCCCCCCTCCCACAGGCACTAGCTCTTGTGACCACACACTGGGAGCTCACCATCCAGATGGAGGGATGTTTCTAGGAGACTGCCTTCCATTTCCGTCTGAGAGGCAAATTCTATGAAGTCACCTGTTGGGAGTACATGTGGGTAAGTGACCGTATATAAAAAAGGGATCGTTCTGGGTTTGAAACTGATCCAGTGCCAAAGCCACACAAGCACGAGCCTGTAAAGAGAACTAGTAAAGAGAGATGGGGTCCTAGACTTCACACCAATTCCTGCGGGCTCCTGGTGGATTTAACGGAAGCCTCGGGGACAACTCATCCGTATTCGATCCTGTGAAAAGGAATCCTGATTGTTAAGGTAATTAGCACCTGTAGTTCTGAAACCAATAGCTTTCAGCCTATCTTACAGGAATTTGTAGGATTACTAGAGGTGTGCCTGAAATACCTTCAGGTTTATGACTAGGACTGGGAAAAATAGATCTGTAGGAATCCCGTATTCTTGTGAAAAAATGCTTATGTCCCAATGACAGCTGCTAGAATAGAAAGATTTTCTCTGACCATGACTGTGGAGACAGTTGTATCTCCACTGAAAACACTGCGGTCTGTTGATTATCTTGAGATTTTCTCTCTTGAAGCTACTGGAAGCAGCATTTAAGGAAAAGATAATTTTGTAATAATGGGTTTCAGAGAGCAGCTGTTAGGCTCAAATGTATCCTGTGATATTTTCTCTAATATCAACTGCAAATTCTATAAATCAACTTATAAAGCACACAATATTCCTGTATTATTGTAGTTTTCAATTTGCATATGTCATATTTTAACATATTTCCGAGAACTTACCACATGACTAATAGTTTATAATCGGTATGAACAGATAAATATGATCTAAAATGACTAATACTTTAGTTTTTACCTTACATTATCTTATCCTATATTAGAATTCAGTGTCCCAGGGGCGCCTGGGTGGCTCAGTGGGTTAAGCCTCTGCCTTCGGCTCGGGTCATGGTCTCGGGGTCCTGGGATCGAGCCCCGCATCGGGCTCTCTGCTCAGCGGGGAGCCTGCTTCCCCCTCTCTCTCTGCCTGCCTCTCTGCCTACTTGTGATCTCTCTCTCTCTCTGTGTCAAATAAATAAATAAAATCTTAAAAAAAAAAAAAAGAATTCAGTGTCCCATACTTTAGGGTAAGACATGAGATTATGATAGGTGTCCTTATACTTTCGTTCCTGGCATAAAGGCAAATGCCCAAATTGTCTTTTTCTTTCTGTTTCCATCCTTTGAGCACTTCTTGCATTCATTACATTCAACTTGTCACGGGACAGGTTCCTATATAATATAAAACTGCAGTCAGAGCATCTACATTTTCTTAAATTTCTAAAGCTTCATTCATTTTGATATTGGCTTACAGAATAAATCTTTACACATCATGATGAGGTATTACAATGAAAATTATAAAGAAACATACTATCTAGCTACAATAAAATGGCAAAGCTAAAACCAAACCGTATGTCAGGATTATTCAAAGAACACAGCAGCTCTCCGGACTCAGCATAGCACAGAGGCTAGAGGCATTGTCTTTGCAAACAACTCAGACAGACTAAGTCCACACTTTGCCCTAAATAGGGTATACATGTAGGCAAATCACCTATTCTGTCTCTCTGCGTTCTCCTTGTCTTTAAAATGAAAGTAATAGTAGTGATAACTTGTAGTTTTGCTTAAAAAGTATGGGGTGCCTAGCTGTTTCATTCAGTTAAGTGTCTGACTCTTTTTTTTTTAAGATTTTATTTATTTATTTGACAGACAAAGATCACAAGCAGGCAGAGAGGCAGGCAGAGATAGAGGAGGAAGCAGGATCCCCGCTGAGCAGAGAGCCCGATGTGGGGCTCGATCCAAGGACCCCGGGATCATGACCTGAGCTGAAGGCAGAGGCTTTAACCCACTGAGCCACCCAGGCGCCCCTAAGTGTCTGACTCTTGACATCACCTCAGGTCTCTATCTCAGGGTCATGCGTTCAAGCCCTGCATTGGGCTCCACATTGGGTGTGGAGCTACTTTAAAAAAAAAAGAAAAAAGTGAGTTACTACATGTATGAACTTCACAGCAATGATTCGCACATCGTTAAGTGCTCTTTAAAGTGTACATACTTAACTCCGGAAAGTCCCGTGAAATTAATATTTCTCTTGTTAAACTGTATTGATATATAACTGGTATACTAAAAATTGTACATATTTAATGTATATATTTTGATAAGTTTGGAAATCTGCATGCCTCTGGGATGGTATCACCACAATCAAGGTATCCATCACTTCCAAAAAATTTCTTGTGTTCGTGTGCGTGTGTGTGTGTGTGGTCACAACACTTAACATAAAATACATCCTCTTTTCATTATTTACAGTCTACAATACCATTCTTCTAACTTGAGTCACTATATTGTACAACAGATCTCTACAACACACTCACCTTGTATAACTGAAACTTTACATACACTGAACAACAATCCCGCACTCCCCCTTCCTCCAGCACCTGGCAACCACTCTTCTGTTCTCTGCTTCGATGAGTTTGACTTTCAGGTTCCTCATATAACTGAAACCATACAGTATTTTTCCTTCTGTGACTGGCTCCTCCATGTAGGAGTTCCTTCTTTTTGAAGCTTGAGTCATGTTCCACTTGTATTCCTTTGTAGGTAATCCTACACTTTCCTTAGCCATTCCCAGTCAATGGCCATTTGAATTGTTTCCATATCTTGGCCATTGGGAATAATGCTATAATGAACGTGGACATGCAGCTATCTCTTGGAGAACTTGATTTCAATTCTTTTGGATATATACCAAGAAGTGGGACTGCTGGATGAGGTGATAGTTCTATTCTAGTCTTTTGAGGAATCTCTATACTGTTTCCCATAGTGGCTTCAATATTCTACATTTCTACCAACAGTGTATACAGACTCCAATTTCCCCACATCTTCACCCACACTTATCTTTGGGGTTTTTTGGATACCAGTCATTCTAACATGTGTGATAGCATCTCATTGTGGCTTTGGTCTGCGTTTCCCTGACGATTAGCAGAGTTGAGCCCATTTTCATATACTTGCTGACCACTCATATGTTCTTTGGAGCGATGTTTGTTCAAGAAATTTGCCCATTGGCTAACTGGGTTATTTCTTCCACTGAGTTGTTAAGAGATTCTTCATATTTTATTAACCCTGTATCAGATGAACACTCTGCAGATATTTGCTCCCATTCCACAGACTGCCTTTTCACTTTGGTGATTATTTCCTTTGCTCTGCAGAAGTTTTTTGTTTTATATAGTACCACTCATCTTTTTGTTTCATTTTGTTTGCTTTCCTGCTGGTGTCAGATCCAGGAAATCATGGCCGAGACCAACGCCAAAAAGATTTTCCTCTATGTTTCCTTAAAGGGGTTTTACAGTTTCACATCTTATATTTAAGTCTTTAATACATTTTGAGTTGATTTTTTTGTATGCTGTAAGATTGGGGCCCAATTTCACCCTTTTACATGTGGATATCCAGTTCCCCCAGCACCATTTCTAAGGGAAAACGAACGATAAGTGGATAATCCTGGATTTTAGTTGACATGATGCTTGAAGCCCACACCTCATATTCCCATGCAGGATCCTCTGGTTCTGAAGACAAATCTCAGTGGCTGGAATCTGGCAGGATGGCCTCCAGGGATCTGGTCATAGGAGTGATCTTCTTAACCCAGACCATGGTTGGAATCCTGGGGAACTTCTGTCTTCTTTACCATTATCTCCTCCTTTACTTCACTAGGTGCAGGTTGAGGCCCACAGATTTGATTGCTGAACACCTGACTGTAGCCAACTCCTTATCCCTCCTCTGTAAAGGAGTCCCCCAGACAATGGCGCTTTTGGGTGGAACAGTTTTCCAGGTGATTTTGGATGCAAACTTCTTTTCCATCTTCACAGAGTGAGCAGGGGTGTGTCCCTAGGCGGCACCTGCCTCTTGAGTGTCTTCCAGGCCATCACGATCAGCCCCAGGGACTCAAGTTGGACAAAACTTAAAAGGGAAGCTCTCAAGCATATTGACTTCTCCATATTCCTGTGCTGGGTCCTCTACATGCTGGCAAATATCCTTTTTCCTATCCATGTGATTGGCAAATGGAGCAACAAGAGCATCTCGATGAGAAAGGATTTGGGATACTGTTCTGTGATAAGTAGTAACAAAATCACACAATTGGTACAAGCAGCACTGTTATCATTCCCTGATGTTTTATATTTAGGACTCATGATCTGGGCCAGTAGCTCCATGGTTTTCATCCTGCACAGGCACAGGCAGCGGGTCCAACACATTCACAGGCCTAACAATGTCTCCCCCAGATCCTCTGCTGAGTCCAGAGCCACCCAGAGCATCCTTGTCCTGATGAGCACCTTTGTGTCCTTCTACTCCCTTTCCTCCATCTTCCAAGTCTGCATTATTCTCTTCGGTGATCCCAGTTGGTTGCTGGTGAGCATCTCTGCCTTGATCAATGGATGTTTCCCAAGTGCCTGTCCCTTTATTCTCATGAACCGTATCTCCAGTGTGTTCAGGTTCTACTTAGCCTGGATGAGGAACACAACACCCACTAAACTCATGACAAATATGTAAATTGTATGTTCTTGCATAGTGTATGGTTGTTTATTCATTCAACCTCCACACCTCCAAACTGCAAGCATTATGTAAAAAAAAGCCAGAATGAGCTTCTTTCCCATAAGAAACAGTAAATAGTAATAATAAATGTAAATGAAACATTATGGAATGTTATGAAAATACATAACTGAAATTTTATTCACACTTCTAGTGAAGTAATTTGGAATTTGTGCAATTAAAAAATTGTTCCTGAAACAATCTAGAGATTGTGGGGAGGTCTTCAAGTGTGTAACTTTTAATTTGACAAATTAAATATATCTAGAAATTGACTAATCTTTAAATTTTTTTAAAAGATTGAAGAGAATTTAACATGTAAGATGGTATTCAAGAAAGTAAAGAAGAAAATGTTCTTGAGCCTGGGTGGCTCAGCTGGTTAAGCATCTGCCTTTAGCTCAGGTCATGATCCCAGGGTCCTGGGATCGAGGCGCTCATTGGGATCCCTGTTGAGCAGGGAGCCTGCTTCTCCCTCTGCTGCTCTCCCTACCTGTGCTCTCTTAAGCTTTCTGTCAAATAAATACAGGTAACCCTTTACCACATTACAGATAGTAAAGGTACCTCAGGACAGAATATTCCCAATTCCTCCCTCCCAATCCTTATAATATTGCTATCATTTATTTTGCTTATCCATAAGCTGTAATCACCCAGTACGCTGTTCCTAGTTTGAGTTTGAAGTTATCTTTTTTTATATTATGTTACATTAGTCACCATAGAGTACCTCATTAATTTCTGATACAGCGTTCCATGATTCATAGTTTGCGTATAACACCCAGTGCTCCATGCAATCTGTGCTCTCCTTAACACCCATCACTGGGCTAACCCATCCCAAAACCCTCAGTTTGTTTCTCAGAGTCCATAGTCTCTCATGGTTCATTTCTCCTTCTGATTCCCACCCCTCCCTTCATTTTTCCCTTCCTTCTCCTAATGTCCTCTATGCTATTCCTTATGTTCCACAAGTAAGTGAAACCATATGATAATTGACTTTCTCTACTTGACTTACTTCACTCAGCATAATCTCCTCCAGTCCCATCCATACTGAAGCAAAAGTTGGGTATTCATCCTTTCTGATGGCTGAGTAATATACCATTGTGTATATATACCACATCTTCTTTATCCATTCATTTGTTGAAGGGCATCTCAGCTCTTTCCACAGTTTGGCGACTGTGGCCATTGCTGCTATGAACACTGGGGTGCAGATGGCCCTTCTTTTCACTACATTTGTATCTTTGGGGTAAATACCCAGTAGTGCAATTGCAGGGTCATAGGGAAGCTCTATTTTTAATTTTTTGAGGAAACTCCACACTGTTTTCCAAAGTGGCCGCACCAACTTGCATTCCCATCAAGAGTGTAAGAGGGTTCCCCTTTCTCCACATCTTCTCCAACATTTATTGTTTCTTGCCTTGTCAATTTTGGCCACTCTAACTGGTGTAAGGTGGTATCTCAATGTGTTTTTTTTTTTAAAGATTTTATTTATTTATTTGACAGAGATCGCAAGTAGGCAGAGAGGCAGGCAGAGAGAGAGGAAGGGAAGCAGGCTCCCTGCTCAGCAGAGAGCCCGATGCAGGGCTCGATCCCAGGACCCTGGGATCATGACCTGAGCCGAAGGCAGAGGCTTAACCCTCTGAACCACCCAGGCGCCCCCTCAATGTGGTTTTTGATTTGAATCTCCCTGATGGCTAATGATGATGAACATTTTTTCATGTGTCTGAATAGTTATCTATTAAATCAGTTAAGAATAAGAAAAAAAATAAAAATAAAATCTTTTTAAAAAGAAAAGAAAATGTTCTCATGTGATAATGAAGTAGCATGGGGTGAAGGTGGAGTGCAAATTTAGGTTCAGTTAGGAACATTCTGGACTAAGTTATAAAACTTGTAGGTCACATCCTTAGAGAGATAGTAGTATTTAAAATATGATCACATGGAGGAATATTAGCATATTTAAAACATTTAATGTAGAAATAGACAAAGGGACCTGGGTTGGGACAAAGGAGAACCCAAAAACTTGTTTTCACTGAGAGATGAATGGTGACAATTTAAAAAAAAAAAAACAACTCATCAGGTAACCAACTGAATGGGAGAAGATATTTGTAAATGACATAGCTAATAAGGGGTTAATACCCCAAATACATAAAGAACTCATACAACTCAACCAAGAAAAAACCTGGTTTAAAAATGTGCAGAAGACCTGAATACATATATATTTTTTTAATTTACAGACAGAGATCACAAGTAGGCAGAGAGGCAGGCGGGGGGCGGGGGTGGGGGGGAAGCAGGCTCCCCGCTGAGCACAGAGCCCGATGCGGGGCTTGATCCCAGGACCCTGAGATCATGACCTGAGCCGAAGGCAGAAGCTTTAACCCACTGAGCCACCCAGGCGCCCCTTGAATAGATATTTTTCTAAAAATGACATACAGATGGCCAACAGATACAGGAAAATACGTCCACCATCATTTACCATCAGGGAAATGCAAATCAAAACCACAACGAGATATCGCCTCACACCACTCACAAGACGTATCCATCTTCAGTGGTGGTCAGAGAAAAGTAAATTACAAAATATCTCATTTGTTTTGTGACCACCAGCTTGTTAAGTTAAAAGGCTGCTGGGACATCTGGGTGGCTCTGTTGGTTAAGTGTCTGACTCTTGATTTTGACTGAGTTCTTGATCTCAGGGTCATGAGTTCTAGCCCCACACTGGGCTCCATGCTGGGGGTGGAGCCTACTGGTAGATAGATAGATAAAAGTTTGCCGATATGGTCTCTTTCTGAGATTAGTAGAAACATACCATTTCATACACGCATGTAGGGAATATCAATGATCAGTGACCTTTTGAGAGACAATTAGGGAGTCTTTATCAAAAGTTGATAGATGCATATTCTTGCATACGATTCTACTAGCTAGAAAACACTTAATCACGTGCTCAGAAATGCCCCCATAGCCGTTACTGGTGGACATGCAAATAACAGCACAAAAACGAAGAAAAATACATATATGCCAGGGATCCCTTTGGTTAACCTGGACTTTGAAGATAATCCCATTACAGGGGCGCCTGGGTGGCTCAGTCAGTTAAGTGTCTGCCTGTCACTCAGGCCATGATCTCAGGGTCCTGGGATAGAGTCCCGCATCAGGCTTCCGGCTCCTCGGGGAGCCTGCTTCTCCCTCTCCCTCTGCCTGCCAGTCCCCCAGATTATGTTCTCCCTCTCTGTCAAAAAAAAAAATTATTAAATAGGGATAAAAGGAGAAAAGATCAAAAGGTCTCAAGATGAGGATAATGATTCAGCAGTCCTTACCCACTCAGATTGCGAATGCTGAGCAAATTCCAGGGGACACATGCAGCTTCCAGGATGACTGAGGAAGGATGAGGATGAAGGGAAGCTTCGGAGCCTTTATGTTGCTGGAGGAGCCCCTCTGAGCACTAGTGCTGACCTAATCAGCATGACACAACCAACTTTGATCGAATCATCCCTCAAGATATAAAGGGATTATTTATTTCCTGTTTATTTTTTCTCAGAAAAATAAACCTGCCCTCGTGCTCCCTCTCATTCTCTCAAAATAAATAAATTATAAAATCTTTAAAAAATGAAAAAAAAAACTGTTTAAACATGAAGATGCATGAGCATGATGATGCAGAAATTTAGTTCCTCCCTTCCTGTTGGTAGCAACAGCAAAGATCGTAGCAAATGAGAACACAGCCCAAGTATGTTCATGGCAGCATGCTGTGTTGTGGTAGCCTTCGAGTCTTTTTAAAAGATTTTATTTAAGTAGTTGAGAGGGAGGGAGGGAGAAAGAGAGAGAAAGTACCCACGAGTTGGGGGGGAGGGGCAGAGGGAGAAGCAGACTCCCCACTGAGCAAGGAGCCAGACTCCTGGGACTCTAGGATCATGACCTGAGCCAAAGACAGATGCTTAACCAACTGAGCCATCCAGGTGCCCTTTTTATTATCTTTTATATACTTGAGTAATTATTTATTAGAGATGAATCTTATGGCTCACAACCTGTTTATTAGAGAAGTACAGAATTCCAGGATTTCATCAAAGTATTCAAAGCTCCATTTCCCACCCAACCCTGATCCCAAAGGAGAAGTTTGGAGTGGATGGTACAAGACTGCCCAAACGGGGGCGCCTGGGTGGCTCAGTGGGTTAAAGCCTCTGCCTTCCGCTCGGGTCCTGATCCCAGGATCCTGGGATCGAGCCCCATATCGGGCTCGGGCTCTCTGCTCAGCAGGGAGCCTGCTTCCTCCTGTCTCTCTCTGCCTGCTGCTCTGCCTACTTGTGATCTCTGTCTGTCAAAAAAAATAAAATAAAATCTTTAAAAAATTAAAAAAAAAAGTGCCAAAACGCCTACATATCTTGAAGCGATCTTAAGGGTAAATAGAGATTCACTTTATTTTCCTTAATTGTGTGAATGCTTGAAATGTCCATATTGAATAAATCAATATTGGGAAACTATCTTCACCATCAATTATTTTTAGTTCATTGCTGGCTTCATGTTTACACAAAGATGTATTTGTCAGATACTCGTAGGTAAGACTGACTTGTATAAATTGTCCTACAGAGTCATCCAGTCCTTACAGATCCAGGGCCGAGTTCCTGCTCTCTTTCGCCAAGAACGGGAACGCGGGAGAGAAATAACTCCATTTCAGTAATGGGTCTGGTAGACATTTTATCGTTTTAAGGTCTGATTTTCCTGTGACTTATACAGAATGAAATTATCAGCGACAAGAATACTGAAAACGTGTTTTTCATTGTATGGAAGAAACCCCTCCGATGAAGCTACGTCATCCTTGCACCCTTGCTGGGCAGCGCTCGCTTCTCATTTCACCGTGTTAGAAGCAACAGATCCGGCAGGGTCTTCAACAGCTGTGGGGGAGCTGGGCCAGGAGTAAGACAGGGAGGCGTCCCCTTCCCCTGGCTTTGCTGCCCTGCTTTCTGACACCACGACAGGCCCCTGCAGAAGTGTCCCCTTACTGTGCGGGGCTCCGCTCGAAGGCACAGCCACCCACACGCCTTCTCCGAGACCAACGCGAGTTCTGAGCAGCGCCAGGAAGGTGGCCTTTTTCCAACCAATAGGAGCGAGCCACGCCCCGCGGAGGGGCCTATAAAAGGCAGGTCCTAGCGGCGATTCCACACTCCGCAGTCCGAGCGTCCCGGAGTGAGGATCATCCCTGCGGGCATCGAGATGGGCTCGGAAACTGGAGGCTCAGACCCACGCAGCCCCTCCACGCGACACCCCGCGGGCCAGCCGCCCTGCCATCAGAATTCCTGTAAAGCAAAGGGCTCAGGTGTAGCGGAGAAACCACTCGAAGGGAAAGAGGAGACATTCTCTTCCCCATTAAGAGAGAGCCGCACCCAGAGGCAAGGTAGTGATCCGGGCAGTTCGCGCACGGAGGCTGGAAGGAGGGGTGGGGTCAGGGTTTTATCTTGAGATAGGTGATGGGAAATGTCACCCAGCCCTCGGGGGGTTGAGAAACAGGGCAGTGGTACCCGGAACCACACTGCTGTGGTCCGCCTGGGACACCGAACAACCTCCGTCGAGAAGACCGTCCACAAAGCCGGAGCAGGGCGGGACTGCGGAGTTGTGCGGGCTTCGGGGGAGGCCACTCACCTAAACTCCCTTTTCCGCTAGGGTCAGAGCCGCAGACTGATGAGGAGCATGCCCAGGAAGCTGAGCTCGAAAGAGTCGGCGGCATCTCTGGACCGGGTAGGAGCTGACTTTCCTGGGGAGGAGGGACAGGATGTGGGGTAGCTCAGTCTCCCGGTCAGGGGACTGGGAGCTCTGCGGCCTCCTTGCAGATCCCGGACTCGAGGAACAGCTGGGAACTAGTTCTGGTTGCCAGCTTTGGTCCTGTGTGTCTAGGATGGCCCGGGGGGTGAGGTGTCCTGCCGGAGCAGTCACGAGACTCTCTGTCCCCAGGGTCGGAAGGCTGCTCCAGTCGGGAGGGCTCCGGGAAGAGGAAAATCGGTTCCAGCGACGGCACCTGCGCCGGAGCAGGTGGGCTCTAGCTCTGGGCCCGGAGGGGTGCCGACAGAAAAGCGGGTCACATGTGCAGGGCGTGGGCACAGAGGGGCTGTTGAGTTGCCCAAGCGAGTTAGCAGACTCTGGAATCCAGGGGGCATCTGGGGACCCCGGATGGGCACGGCGGTCCTACTCATCCCACCAAGGGACGGGGCGGGACTGAGTAGGAGACAGGGGGAGTTCCCCCAAGCGAGTGGCTGGGGGATCCCTGGGTGGTCTGGCTGGTCGTTCACCCGCGTGCTTCCTCTGCAGGGGCCTCTCTCGCAGACGAGCCCAGTGTCACTCCGGGAAGGAAGACACGGAGGACGCCCGACGGGGATCGCGGCGGCGAGAGCGAGGAGACCGCGGGTGCCCGCCCCAGGAGACAAGGGGCGCGAGGCTCGGGGCGCAGCGGGCGCCGCAGATACAGGTCCCCGGGAGACCGGCCGCCTCCCCTGCGCAAGAGGCTGGTGACAGCCCTGAGCGCCCTGTCTGAGGCCATCCATCAGGACGTCGCCCAGGCGTGCGAGCAGCGGGAGCACTCCCCGCTGACCTGGGAGCAGCGCTCGGGGCTCGAGGAACTCTGGGGGCCCCTGTGCGCGGCCTTGCAGACCGTCTACACCATGGCCCACCAGGCGGCCTACGTCTTCCCTGCAGAGAGCTGGCTCGCGCCGGGCCGCAGCCGAGCACCGGAGGACTCCCGCGGGGGCGGAGGACAAGCCCTGGGCGGCAGGGCATGTTTGAGACACAGTGTGTCCCTGAGGGATAGAACCTGGGGTGGTCCGCGGAAAGGTCCTCGAAACTGGGACTCAGAATGGGGAGATAGAGGCTTAAATGTCATGTTAGGCATTTTCGTGTATTCAGAGTATCTTGGGACAGCCCAGCGTTATTTTATAACGAGAACAAATATCAGGCTGTAATCCATATGTATTGAGTATTTTAACGTGTAGTGAAGGCAGCATACTTATAGCCTCCCCTTTGATCCTGGACTGAGGCCACAGGCCTAGGGTACCATTCCCTGGGGAGAGATGGCTATATTGTTCAGTTTGATGAGATCATGGTGAAGTCACCAGGTCATTTTTGTTCCCTTTTCAGTTATTTTATATAAAACCTGAGTCAAGCTATACTAATGTTATTGACCATATGTATTTATTCTTACAGCCGGCTCATATTATACACCTAATTTTGTTTTCTTCTATTTTATAGATTTCAAGTTATCCTATTTATGAGAGGATATTAAGACTAATGTAGTCATTTTTTATATATTTTATTTTATATAGTTTCCTATTTGTATTTTATACTGGGATCATGCAGTCTTTAATCATATAAATGTATATAACTTTATGTAAGAAAAATAAACATGTTTGGTTATTATCTTGGTTCATAATTTCCATATCACATGTAATGAAATAAAAATTAATCTCATGTCTTCTCCTTATCCAGATGGAGTTTGTTTTATGGAGGGGTGGGTTAGAAGACTGCTTTCTTTTCACCTCTACTTCATTTCCACCTTGGCTTTCCTCCACCTAGCAGCTCTTTTTTTTTGGTAGGGGATAGTTAATTATCCCAATGAATGGGGCAATTCAATGATAATATATTACAAATCAGTTTGAACCCATGGCATGGCTTCAAATTATACAAAACAAATGCCTGCATATGTAAAAAAAAAATCACAATTGCAAGTTATATTTGGGGGTTGGGGATGCAATTATAAAAGAGTCAAAAAACCAAAATTTTTAAATACTAATACAACAAAATAAAATAAATAAAATATCTGGGAATAAATCCAATAAAATACATCAAATGTATATGAGAAACCATATAAAATTTCTGAAAGATATGAAAGCAGACATCAACAAATATAGAAATCACATCACTGTCCTTGGGTAGGAAAATCCCATATTATCAAACATCAATCTCTAAGCTATATAAATTCAATCTGGTCCTGATACAGATACTATCAGTTACTCATTGGAGCTAGGCATGTTGTTGCAAAAAAAAATCCTACAGATGAAAATACAAAGAAGGATAGGCAAGAAAAGTCTGAAAAAGGAAAAAAAGTGAGGATAAACTTTTAGTTAATCAAGATGAATAAGCTTCAGAGATCTGTATAAAATTGTATATATGGTCACCAACGTACTATGCACTTAAAAATCCTTTAAGAGGGTAGATCTCATGTTCAGTGTTCTGAAAAATAAAGAAAAAAGAAAAAAACTAAGGCTAGCTAGCTCTGTGAAACATGTTATTTCTTGAATAAGACCGATCAGTAGAGATAAAAATTCAAAAATAGACCAAAGTATTTGCGAAAGTTAATAAGCAAGAAAATATTGGGGATGGCATCATTCCTACTTGGGGTTTGAGAGCTTGATTATTATCACCACATAGGTAAGAAATTGATTCACTGGGGCACCTGGGTGGCTCAGTCCCTAAACACCTGCCTTTGGCTCAGGTCATGATCCCAGGGTCCTGGGATCGAGCCCTGCATCCCGCTCCCTGCTCAATGGGAAGCTTGCTTCTCTCTCTCCCACTGCCCCTGCTTGTTGTGTTCACTCTCTCGCTGTGTCTCTCTATCAAATAAATAAATAAATAAATAAATAAATAAATAAAAATCTTTTTTTTTTTTAAAGATTTTATTTATTTATTTGACAGAGAGAGATCACAAGTAGACAGAGAGGCAGGCAGAGAGAGAGAGAGGGAAGCAGGCTCCCTGCTGAGCAGAGAGCCCGATGCGGGACTCGATCCCAGGACCCTGAGATCATGACCTGAGCCGAAGGCAGCGGCTTAACCCACTGAGCCACCCAGGCGCCCAATAAATAAAAATCTTAAAAAAAAAAAAAGAAATTGATTTACTCTTCACATCCTATAACAAGGTAAAGGTCCAATGAAAAAATACAACCGCATGACCGAAAAGAACTCTTATCAATACAGACTCTGCTTATTAAATTGAAATAGAAAATACACACTGACTCCCTCCTGCTGCCAGGACAGGGGGCTCCGAGGGAAGGTCACGGCAGCCAGTATGAGAGGGAGGCAGCCAGATCCCAAGACAGAAGTCCGTGCTTCAGTGAGCTCCCCTCCCCTCTGAACTGCAAAAATCATTTCACCTGTAGCAGCGGAGAGAGGTCAGACTTGGGGAACTGAGAATTTGGTTGGAAAACTAATTTTTTTCCCCAATTGCTACTTGCCAAAAAAGAATTATAAATTCCAAGTTAGCATCTCTCAAGTGTTTGGGAGGGACTTTCTCTTTTCCAAAGCCCTGGAGGTAGACAGTGTTCAGGGGAAGGGCAGGAAACGCTGACCTGTGCGGAAGGGACTGGCAGTGAAACACCCGAATTTCACTGGATTCTCTGCTCTGCTGAGGAATTCTACCCAAAATAGAGTTCCTTCTAATATTCAGACCACTGGGATGCCCTATCATTTAAGTTTTAAGCATAGAAATGAAATCAGACAAAGCGCCGGAAAAGGATTTGCAGAGTTATAATCAAAAAGAACATGTGATGATAATTTACATTAGGAATCACTGGACTTATTTGCACAAGTCAGTGCCAATTTATGTGAAAGTGCAGATGATATGGAAATTTGTTAGGAAAATATGCTTTACCAATATTGATCTCCCTAGTGGTAAAAGAAAGTCTAAACACAGCAGTATCTACCAAAGGGGAAAAGTTTATGAGACCCTCACAAATGAAAGCACCAGGATCAGATGGCCATTTATTTTTAAGATTTTATTTATTTATTCATGAGAGAGAGAGAGAGGCAGAGGGAGAAGCAGACAGAGCAGAGAGCCCGACAGGAGACTAGATCCCAGGACCCTGGGATCATGACCTGAGCGGAAGGTGGATTGCTTAACCGACTGAGCCACCCAGGTGCCCCAGGATCTGATGGTTAAAA